CTTCCTAGAAGGGACTGAAGCACCTTCCCATCACTGGATGCTCTGAATAGCTCATGGGAGAATTTTAATTGCTTATGCATTTCTTCTATATATACATTTTCTGCCTATATTCTCGAGGTTTAAAACAGTTCAAAACAAATAGTGTGTTAAAAATCATAAGTGTGAGAACCAATTTAATTAGATCAAGCAATATACTCTTTTGCTTTACAGCAGCCATCATAAACAATTACCTGCTCAAAATCCAACTTCATGATGGCCTTCTGTAGATATCTCACTCCACCATGGATCAATTTAGTACTTCTGCTGCTAGTCCCTGATCCGAAATCATCCCGTTCTACAAGAGCTGTGCTGAGGCCTGCATAACCAGAAGACCAAATTAACTTCTTAAATTATACAAGACCCTTCTCTAGGGTACAGACAATCATAGAAAAATAACTGCTCTGAATATTGTATTCAAAGTATATAATGTCATCTTTTTGGCAGTGAAGTGTGGCATTCTTTTCAGGGAAATATTTTGATTTAAGTCATAAATACTGGAGACATGAAAATGATTGAAGAAGGAAATTGAGAGTACATAAAACCTTTCCCCTTCTCATTAATATACAAGGACAATTAAAAAATTTAGATAAGTGATTCTAATGAAATTAAGCTAATGCAGGTCAGAAGAAAAATTCAGGCCTAGACATAGTTATCACATTATTTTCCAATCCTTGATACTGGTACACATGAGAACAAAAAATTAAACAAAGTAATTAATCATAATCAAACGATTAGTATTATTAATAGTCTTTTAAATTTGCATATGTTTTTTTAACAAAACAACAATATATGAATCTATATATAATCTATATATCTGTAGAAAAAAATTAAAAAATCAATATTGAGTTATATCTTTAACTAGAGTCACTCAATTCAGAGGAGAGTGCAAGCTTTCAAGTTCTTCAGAACATTTTACCAGGTAGAAAATTATAAAAGTAGAACAGGAGATGGATAGAAGATTAATGGGCTTTGGGGAGGTTGCAACTAATTCATATTTTGTCCTAAATGAAAACTGTAATGTAATACTGATAACATCTCTTCTCTAACTAATGCGTTCAAGTATACAATCACTACCTTGAGACTGACTTTGAACTCCATACCTCATTATTAATTTTCAGACTTTTTTCCCCTGCCCTTTCTATTGTTTTGTAAATATAATCACATGGAAAGTAAATGCAGTTAAAATAAACACCTACAGAACACCTGAAATGAAATTTCTTTTAGGAGGAGGAGGAGGAGGGGAAATCACATCTAATACAATCTAACTATGTTCGACTGCTGTTTTATGGAGCTGCAGTGGCGCAGTGGTTAGAATGCAGTACTGCAGGCTACTTCTGCTGACTGCTGGCTGCCAGCAGTTCAGCAGTTTGGGTTTCAACAGGCTCAAGGTTGACTCAGCCTTCCATCCTTCCAAGGTCAGCAAAATGAGTAGCCGGATTGTTGGGAGCAATATGCTGACCCTGTAAAGAGAGGGCTGTAAAACACTGTGAAGCAGTATATAAGTCTAAGTGCTATTGCTAAGTGCTATTTTCAAAACTGAATAAAGTAACAATGCTAATGTCACAACCACTGTCAATGTACTTTCCATGTGGCAATCACTCATACAAAGCCACTTAAGGAAGAAAACAGGAAGAATGAAAGCAAGTACTGCAAGATTTTAACAGAGGGTGGAAAAGGAGTAACATGATTCTGCAGATACAAGGAGGAAGTGTAAACTATCAGTCCTCTGCCGCTCTCCTTTAGCTTTCATTACCTTAAAGATTCCACTATACTTTATTACAGTACAAACAGCCTCATTAGCCTCTCTTGGTTGCCCTAAACTTTCATGTCCTTAAAAAAAAAAACTAATTATTCCCGGTAACTTTGGAAGATCAGAGCAATTTATTTTTGTCAAACGTGACTGAAGATTAATGGATACAATCAGGAATAATTTGGCACGAACGTATCAAAGACAAAGAAAACAGAATTTGCTAAGTGAAGCATCAAACTTAATATGAGAGCAAATCCCATGAATGAAGAGCAACAATATACAATTCATTAATGCCTATGATTATTTCACATTTCAGAAAACTACTGATACAAATCAACAAATGTACTACAAAAACGATAAATAGAGATTGGCTTCAACTTTGGTTTTCCTATATATATCTCCATCATCCGCTACATCCAATCCTACCATAAACACTGAAAATATTTATTTGATTATGAAACCAAAATCATATCCCTGCAATAAATACACGGTGAAAGAACAAATACCAAGGAAGTTGCCAAAGAAGATAACCTACATATACTACAGGTACTTCCTCTCTTTCTAAATCTAGCAAAATTTGGCCAGAAATAATGCAACTGAAGTTATGCAAAACAAAATAAGATGTTTGAGTCTCTTATTCTGAGATACATACGCTCCAAAATGTCATACTGGTGGCTAATGCAGATAATCCTTCAGCAGAATTGGGGATTTGAAAAACTTGAAACAAAATAAAAATAAAAACTTAAATAGGAGTTAAGGAAGAAAGAAAACATAACTGAAGCTAGGCCCATTAAATTTATTAACAAAAAAACCGTGTATGTAAAAATAGAATGGATTATAAAACTTGAAATTAAAAATATAAAGGTTAGTACTTTTCCCTCCAAATCATGTTAACACTTTTTATATGGCCAAAACCACACATGTGATTACTAGCTAATTAAAAGTCATTATAATCCAGAGTTGCCATATAAAGAAAAATAGACTAAAATGTACTGGTACAAATAAAAAATGGTTCAGAATTTTTTTCTTACTTTTTTTTTACAATAACAGTTTTTAAAAAGGTTTGCACATCACATAAAACTATATTTTGTACAACTATGGTTTACTGAATGTAAGTCGACTGATTTTTCCACAATATACTGAGCAAATTCAATGGCAATACATCTTAGGTAAGTGAAACATGTGATTCCAATGATTTTTAAAAGGTAAATTGTCCATCATATTCGATAGTCAAAATAAATCTCTGGACCTGGGGTTCTATATATGCCAGTGGTGGCTAACCTATTTCGGCTCCCGTGCCAATAATTGCACGCATGCTCCTGAGCTCACGCTCGTGAGCCAGCACCCAGAAGGCACCCCCAACACCCCCTGCGCATGTGCGCGTAATCCCTCCACTGCGCACTGCACCTCTGCGCATGCATGTATATCGCCCCACCATGTGCCGTGTCTACGCATGCACATGCAATCCCCCTGCCACACATCTGCGCCTGCGCCTGCGATTCCCTCGCTGCGCACTGTGTGCCTGTGCGCTGCATGTCCGTGCCTGCATGCTGCGCGTGTCTCTGCGCCTGTGTGATTCCCCGCCATGAGCCATGCACCTCTGCGCATGCGCGCGATCCCCCCGCACTCCATCCATCTCCACATGCATGCACAATTCCATGTTGCGCATCTCTGCACATGCGTGCATGACCCCCTCGTGCATGCTGCGTCTCTGCACATGTGTGTATGTCTCCCGTGCCCCCGCCGCCCCCGTGCATGTGCGCCAGATACCCAACAATCAGCGCACACCCATGTGCAGTGGGGCTCTTCCGGGCAAGCTCTTGCGTGCTGGCAGAGATGGCTCAGCGAGTCACTTCCGGCACGGGTGCCATAGGTTCGCCAACACGGATATATGCCATTCATAACATCTGCACTAGCTGACAGATCTTGAGGTTTTTGTAAAGAAGTAGATCCCATATTCTAAAGACAATACCCGATTTAATTTTTCTCATTCAAAAATGACTTTCCTCTTCTTTCTCATTTGCTCTTCCAACCCTGCCTAGTTATCCTTACCAATAGATTTCAATATAGGAAATTTATTTGTTTATTATGTCAGCATTACCATTACACATACAACTGGTTCTCAACCTACAACAGTTCATTTAGTGACCATTCAAAGTTACAATGGCACTGAAAAAAAGTCTTATGACCATTTTTCATGCTTATGACCGTTGCAGCATCCCCACGGTCATGTGATTTACATTCGGACTCTTGGTTGATTCACATTTATGACGGTTGCAGTGTCCGGGAGTCATGTGATCCCCTTTTGTGACCTTCTGACAAGCAAAGTCAATGGGGAAACCAGGCTTACTTAACAATCGTGTTAGTAATTTAAGAACTGCACTGATTCACTTAACAAAGAAAAACTGTAAAATGGGACAAAACTCACTTAACAAATTTCTCACTTAGCAACATAAATTTTGGGCTCAAATATGGCCATAAGTTGAGGACTACCTGTACTGCAAGTTTTGACTAGTTAAGAATTATGGGAATTTTAAGAAGACAATTCACAACTAGGAAGGCAGAAGTTCTTTAGGACTTAAAAGCAAAGTGACTGTGCTGTCCAGCCAGTCTATGGGGATTGGATAGTTACTTAGGAATTATGAGCTGTCCTCTTAAGGGAATGCATCATGGTAAACATAGTTAAAGGTATCCTGGGAAATGTAGTTCATGTCACGTGACCACATCTGTAAACCTGATTGGTCACTGAATTGACCCTCAATGGGTTGGGGGAGTTTTCCTCACTTTTGCCTGAACTCCCTAAGTCATGGGAGCTGCTTTCTATCGCTACGAGATGGGTCAGGAGATAACCATCTTTTACTACAAGGCAGATATACAAAGGATTGGTCATTAAAGAAGAACTTCGTCACAAATGTGAGTTATGAGGATACCTGATGAACCAATAAATATACTTTGTTATGGACGTCTTGTTGAGTAATCTATCTGCATCTGTACAGTTTATAAATCCATCTCTGTACAGGATACAGAAAAGTGGCTTAGCAAAGAATAGCCCTAAAATAGGTCATAAAATGAAGCACAAGCTGCCCACACAGCTAAGATGAGATAGATATATTGGACAATGACATTAAAAATTAAAGGAATAGTAGAAAGCCCAGCAAGTCAAAGAGATAATCTCAAATGCTCAAATTATATTCATTTCATCTTTTAAACAAAAGGCACTTTGTTGAATTCTCCATGCTTAGAAACTATGCTTCTGGAATATCAAAAGGCATGAGCCTCTTAAGTTTTCAGAACTGAGAACTGTGATGTTAGCAACTTATCTGTATCATGATCCAAGACATCATTTTAAAATGCCTCAGGCCTATCACAGGCATCACATGGATTGAATGACAAAGGAGACGGGGGGGGGGGGGGGGGGGGGGGGGAGAGAGAAGACTCTTATGGCCTTATGTAATAAAAGAACTGCAGCAATTAAATCCCAACTCTGTTAATCTTTTTTTAAACACTGTATTACAAATAAAAAGCCCCTAAACCTGTAAATATAATTTAAAAGATTCAGTAAATAACACAAACCAACTACAATAAATGTGAAAAAATACAATAAAAATAAAAGTAGAAAAAAAGCGAAAGAAAAAGCAACGATTTTAGATAGAATGAATCTACTTTTAATGTAAAAACATATTCCTAACTCTGGGGCATATGAATGCCTAGACACAACAAAAGTGACCTCTATAGTTGATGGGAATCACTTACCTCTTGTAACAGCGTCTAAGGCACAACCACTTCCTGTGGCACCGCCCCCTATGATAAGAACATCAAATTCTGAAGTTTCTCTCAAAGCCTGGAAATGATTCTCTCTAGTCGGAAGGGAGTTTAGTATTGGTACAAGTTTGCATTCTGAAGCTTCCACAGTTGCATGATGACCCTGAAAAAATAAATTGTCAAGAAGGGAGGGAGGGAGGAAATTGGGCATAATTTAATACTGATTTATAAAGAGCAGCACTATTTTCCCCAAATCCTTGCTTACTAATCATTAATAACAACACAAAAGATTCATGTCAGAATAGTATTAAAATAAAATAATCCCCAAATATTATTACAATATTAAGTACTATTATCATCATCATTATTGAGTATCCCAGCATGCCCATTATTTTTCCTAAAACCACACAAAAGACTTTTTAATGAAAGTGCCTTTAAATACAAATCAATAGAAGTCATAACTCTAGTTATTAACTGAAAAATCACTATGACTAATACCATCACTACAGTATGATATGATGTTTATAGAATTGTTTTGTCATCAAACATAAATCTATATTAAAAAACAATACCGTGAGCACTCCATAAAAACACACAATTTTTACAACCATGAGCCCCATTTATTTCACTAATCTGGCAGATAACAAACTAAAAAAGCTATGTGTGCTATTTCTATATTTTTAAGTGAAGGGCATAGCCTTAAAGTAATGGTGATTGTGTTTTCTTTCTACTTTTTCCCCCTTTGATAGGGAAGGACCCTGAACTCCAAAGAGTTATTTAGTCTAGAAACCCTAGAGCAGTGGTTCCCAAACTTTTTCAGTCCACACCCCCCTTGGTGCTACAAACTCATCCTCAATGCGTCCCACCCAGGGGCGGGATTCAAATTTCTGTGGGCGTGGCCTAATTTGAGGGTGTGGTTTGCTGGTAACCTGATTGGGTAGGCGTGGCTTGCTGGTCACATGACTGGGTGGGCATGGCTTGCTGGTCATGTGACTGGTGGCGTGGCTTGCTGGTCATGTGACTGGGTGAGAGTGGTTTGGTGACTGGCAAACCAAATACAAGTGGTCTTCACTTAATGGCCAGTTTCTTAGCAAGTGTTCTAATTCATGACTGGCCTCCCCAGAACTACTTGACCTGTTTTTGGAGTTTTGACAGCCATGTACACACATATACACATACTCCCTTTCCAACCCTGCTGGAGCAGGTCATTGGACTAGAATCAGCAAAGCATCTCTGATTAAATTCTAGTAGTGAATAAAATCTAATCAGAGATGCTTTGCCAATTCTTGTTGATTTGTTTTATTTGTATTTCTTTATTTTATGTTGCTGAATTGCATTGACAAGTGTGTCCCTTCTTGTGCACAACCCAGAAGCTTTTGTGATTCTTTGCAGCAAACATTAGCAACCTCTGGCTTTGCTCTACTTTTCAAACGTACCGGCACTGCCGCGTTCTAGGTGCCGGCCCCACAGGCCCACCCCACTGAGCCCACTGCACTGGAGGAATCTGCCCAAGCAAGTCCAAGCGGAGCGGTACACCAAATCAATGGGGTGAGCCTGGGAGAGGGAAAGAGAGAGAGAGAAAAGAGAGAAAGAGAGAAGGAAAAAAAGAAAGAGAAAATGGAAAGAAAGAAAAAGGGACAAAGAAAGGGGGGCATGGAGGGGAGGGAGGGAGGGAGAGGGAGAGAGAGAGAGAGAGCGCTGATGCATCAGATTGTAATGAGGCCTAGTTTAGAGCCCCTTTTCCACATTGAAACATTTTTGCCAGCATCTTTGCCAGCACATTGAAACATCTTTGGCTTCTATTAATTAAAGGTTTTGTGGACGAAACATGCCCAAGACTATCAGGAAGCTCTCACATTTAGTTGAGGCTTTAAACAGGATCCATTGGACCAGATCTTCATCCTAAAAAATTACTTTTCCCCAATGTATTACAGTGCCAATTCTGAAGAAGGCAAAACCAAAATGTACTGGTAAATTACAAGAACACACACATACACACTCCCTTCTAACCCTGCTGGAGCAGGTGATTGGACTAGAATAGAAGCTTATATTACACTTATCCCAAAAGAAGGGGTTGACCCATTACAAATTAAGAACTATAGACCTATTTCCTTATTGAATGCAGATTACAAAATCTTTGCTTCAATCTTGGCAGAGAGGCTTAAAAAATATTTAAATAAATTTATTCACCCTGATCAGAATGGATTTCTACCAAAGAGACAAATTAAAGACAATATGAGGATAATCCTGGATACATTGGAATATTACGAGGCGCATCCCGAAAAACAAATGGCTTTGATATACTTAGATGCCCAAAAGGCATTTGATAACGTGAATTGGAGATTTATGCTATTATTATTGGAACAGATGGGCTTTGCTAGAAAATTTATTCAAGCAATAGAAGCCATATATTATGAGCAAACGGCAAAAGTAATGATAGATGGAGAACTTACAGACTCTATTAATATTAAAAAAGGTACAAGACAAGGATGTCCATTATCTCCTTTGTTATTTGTATTGACTTTGGAAGTGTTAAATAGAAATATTAGAGAGGATACAAATATAAAAGGAATGAAAGTTAAAAAGGAGGAATTCAAATTGCAAGCCTTTACAGACGACTTGGTCTTTATTTTGGAAGATCCTCTTGAGACAGCTTTAAAACTATTTGAAAAGATAGAGATGTATGGTGAGATGGCTGGCTTGAAAATAAATAAAGACAAAACAAAGATTTTGACAAAGAACATGTTATTAAGACAAGAGAAGAGCTGACAGACCTATTGAAAATTCAAGTTACGAACAAAGTTAAATATTTGGGGATATATTTGACGTCAAGATGTACTACACTGAAAGAGAATAACTATATTAAACTTAAGCAGCAGATAGCATCTGATCTGAAAAAATGGGAAAACTTACAATTGTCACTGATAGGTAGAATTTCAACAATTAAGATGAATATTTTACCTAGAATGTTATATTTGTTTCAAACAATACCAATTAGGTTAGGTAAAGACTATTTTGAAGAATTAAATAAAATTGTGTTGAAGTATATATGGCAAGGTAAGAAAGCGAGAATAAAATTAAAACTTTTACAGGATGCTAGAATTAGAGGAGGATTTGGCCTTCCTAATTGGGAGTTGTATTATCAAGCTGCAAATTTAATGTGGGCTAAAGAATGGATAACGTTAAGAAAGACTAGATTGTTGGCATTAGAAGGACATGATTTACTATTGGGTTGGCATGCTTTTCTATGGTATAAGGGAACTAAATCACAGGGTTATTTTAGAAGGCATTATATACGGGAATCGTTATGGTTGAATTGGGAGAAAATTAAGAAACAATGTTATTTGAAAATTCCAGTTTGGTTATCAACTATTGAAGCCTTTTCTTATCCTATCCTATAATTTATAAGAAGGAACAAACAGTTAGATATGGGGAATTACTAGATGAAAAGGGTGAACTTAAAACGATACAAAATTTAGAAGAACAAGGTATAAAGATGAATTGGTTTTCATATGGCCAAATACATTCAAGGTATCTTAAAGATTCCAAAATGGAAGGATTTTATTACAAAATGACTGATTTAGATAGGATTTTGACAGGTACTGATGAAAAAGTGATTAAAAAATTATATAATTATTTGTTGGAAATTAAATTGGAGGATGAACAAGTTAAAGAAACGATGATTGCTTGGGGGAAGAATTTTGGATATGGGATTGACTTAGAGAAATGGCAAAAGTTGTGGTCTCAAAATTATAAAATGACAATGTCAACAGCATATAAAGAAAATTTGTATAAGATGTTTTACAGGTGGCATTTCCCCCCGACAAGAATAGCAAGAATATTCAAGAACAAATCTGAAAAGTGCTGGAAATGTCATTGGATTCCTGGTTCATATTACCATATGTGGTGGACTTGTGAGGAGGCCAGGAAATACTGGACTAGAATTCGCATATGGTTGGAAAAAATGACAAAGAAACATATAGATTTGAAGCCAGAGATTTTTTTATTGGGAATCTTACCTGATACATATAATAAAAACTTAAAGTATTTGATTGTAAATGTATTAACAGCGGCTAGGATTGTATTTGCTAAAAATTGGAAGACTGAGAAAATACCATTAGAGGAAGAAATTATTAAGAAAATATTGGAATGTGCTGAAATGAGTAGATTGACATTTGAAATTAGAGAACAAGAAGATAAACAATTTTATGAAGTTTGGGATCTTTTTTATCAATGGTTAGATAATACAATATAATAATAGAATAGTTAGAAATTTAGGAAATAACGAATATACATTTTTTCTTGGTCTTGATAACACTTTTAGAATATTTTATTAAGATAGACTTGGTATGATTTTATGATTTGTTATAAAATAAAGTAACTAAATTACAGTTATCTCGCTTAAGTATGAATTAGTAAAATTATAGTCAAATGATTGTTTAATAATGATATTAGGATATATAATTGTTGATCGATAATACGAGTTATTATGTAACATAATTATTATGATGACTATGAAATGGATGCACAAAAAGGAGTGGTAAACCAACCGATACACTGTCTGTAAATATATGAAGAATATGATGTTTTTTATGTTATGTTTTATGTTTTTTGTGTTTTTGTTTGTCGTTAAAATCAATAAAAAAAAATTATTAAAAAAAAAAAAAGATATTATCTTTCTCCTCCCTCCCTCCCTCCCTCCTTCTTTATTTCTTTTTCTTTCTGTCCCTTCCTTCCATCCCCCCTTTCTTTGTCCCCTTTTCTTTTTTTCCTTTTCTCTTTCTCTTCTTCCTTCTCTCTTTTTCTCTCTCTCTCTTTCCTCTCTTTCCCTCTCTCAGGCTCACCCCATTGACTTCGTGCACTGCTCCATTCGGACTTGCTTGGGCAGGTGCCTCCGGTGCAAGGGGCTCAATAGGGTGAACACGGCGGCGGCGGGATGTTTGAAAAGGAGAGCAAAGCCACTGTGGTTTTGCTCTCCTTTCCCAATGCTGCATTTGGGGCAACGCCCTGCAACCCAACACTGTGTTCGGGGTGGAGCTCCTTCCACCAGAGCATGCAAGTCAATGGGATGATCCTGCGGGGCCTTGCCTCGAACGCAGCGGCGAGATTATTTCTCACCCCTGAATTGTGCCCTGCCGCTCCCCTCCAGCCGCCTCTTAGCGC